ATGAAAAAGATGTGTGTATAATTGAAATAACGTTACTAGAAGTATTAGGTGAGAGGGGGGAAACTAACCACAACAAATATTCTTTAAAAATTATCTACATTTTTGTGATATAATCTGGATTATGTTCCATAGTGGGTCTTTGATCCATGCTGAAGTTTCTCTCTCTCCAGCCTGGTCAATTGCATTGCCTGCACTGAATAATGATTGCAGGATCCTTTTATCCTCAGCTGTTTTTAACTTGCTTTCTAAATTGCTTTTACTGGCTTTTGAACACTGTGTGTCATTTTGAGCACACGATGTGGCATATGTCTGGGGAAAACAAACCACAAAGTTTTAAACATAGATAGGCCCGCCTATCTCTGGACTTGTTTTTAGAGTCTGAGGCTGGCGATGCTGGGGTAATGGGTGATGGTGTATGAATGTTCTGTGATGCTGATGACCATCTCTTTTATTTTCCCTCCCTTTTAGATCTTTGGCTGCTGGGTTTGGATCCTAGTAGCAGCTACCAATGTGCATTTCCAATTGCTGCAGGGATGGGTTATGTATGTGTCTGTCAGTTCATTTGTCATTTCTCTGCTGCTCCTAATGGCCTACCTGTTTGGCTTCCACAGAAATATTCAATCCTGGAGAATCCTGGTAAGAGGAAAAATGTACACACAAGGTTTTGGGCTGAACTTACTTCTGTCACCTGTTATGTAAACTCCCCCATACGTGGTACAGTGTTTTCATGATGCTGGGTTAGCATGGAGGCAATGTACATTTGGTTTAGGCCTATGAGCAAGGCTTTAGGGAGCAGATATGTTTAGTGGGGGCCTGCTAACACATCAGATTGGAAAGCAAGCACTCTGTTCCCCGTATCTCTCACAGTTTTGTCACCAGTCCCGCACTACCATTTTGAGAGGAATGCTTGGATGTTAAAATGGCTGCCATACATAATGACAACTAGGGTTACCTGCTATTACCTGCTATTACAACTGATCTCCAGGTGACAAAGACCAGTTCACCTGGAGAAAGTGGCTGCTTTGGACTCTGGCATTATCCCCCACTGAAGTCCCTCCCCTACCCAAACCCCACCTTCCTCAACCTGGAGCTGGCAACCCTAACACAACCTCGAGGAGACACAGGAAGGTGGTTGATCAGGCACATAAACAGGGATGCTAGATGCTATGGAAATGTCAGTTTAACTGGGCATCCTGTGGTGGAGATGGGATTCCATATCTTCCTCATAGTAGCATTCTGTCAAATCAGTTGCCAGCCAGGATCCATTTAAAGTGGATTTCTGCTCACACAATGATTTTGACCAAGAGGCCCATTTAACCTGGATCCAGCACAAAGGTACATACATGGTGCTTATCCATTTATAAGCAAGGCCAGCGCCAAGGGTCAGGAGTTTGGGAGTGCTCCTGGAGGCCCAGGTAGCAGCCAGCTGCCAAGGCAGCCTTTTACCGTCTACGGCTGATTAGGTAGTTGGTTCCCTTCCCCGAATGCAATGACCTTGCAACAGTGATCCATGCTATGATCACCTCAAGATTGGACTACTACAACGCTCTCTACATGGGGCTGCCCTTGTCCCAAATCTGGAAGCTGCAGCTAGTGCAAAATGCAGCAGCCAGGCTGTTGATCAGTCTCTCCATTTGAGAGCACATCTGGCCTGTGCTGAAGGCATTGCACTGGCTGCCAATAGCATACCGGATTCGCTTCAAGGTGCTGGTTTTGACCTTTAAAGCCCTACATGGCCGGGGGCCTGCCTACCTGAGGGACCACCTTCCCCATATGTCTCCCTGAGAGCACTAAGGTCGGGGACCCAAAACCACCTGACTCTCCCCGGTCCAAAAGATGCCAGATTGGCCATCACCAGATCTAGGGTCTTCTCAGTGGCGGCTCCACACTGGTGGAACGAGCACCCGGAGGACATTGTGACCCTACGGGGCCTTTTACAGTTCCGCAAGGCCTGTAAAATGGAGCTCTTCCACCAGGCCTTTGATTAGGAGCCACCACTGATGAACGAGCTATTGAAAACATCTGTTACGGCCCGCGTGTTACTGGCACTCTATTGGATTACTGGTCTAGTCATACTGGACCATCTTACAACTATTGCCATCCGCACTTTGCTATTTGTACTTAATCTTCACTTTATATATTATTGTTGGAATTTTATCTGTGATTTATTGTAATTTTAACTCACTGTAAGCTGCCTTGAGCCTGCTTGCCAGGCAAGGCGGGATATAAGTAGAAATAAATAAACAAACAAAATAAATACCTGTATTACAATGCTCAAATACAGAATCCAGTAGTAGATATAGAATTCAGCATTCTTAGCTTTGTTTGTTTGTTGAAATCAACAAGTTTCTAAGGGCCTCAAAGCATGTCAAGAAAGCTTGGTGACAGACATCTCAAAACCTAGAGGGGAGATGGGACTACAATTTTACAGTGGGCAGATTCTTCTTGTCCTGCATAGCCCTTTACCCTTCTCATGGCTACTAAAAGAAAATGACATAACCCCCCCCCCCAAGTTAATCCTTAAATTTCATGACTCTGCATAGCCCCTTGATCCTCCTTGTAACTATCAGATGCAGATCAAATTTTGCAAATTAGCAAATATATTTTATTCATTTGTATGTATATGAACAGCAGAATTATACTGTCCTTTAAGTTCTGTAAGAGCTAGGTATACACAGACAGAACCTACCTCACTGTCTTTTAGGCATGCCAGGCCAAAACATTTCTTTTTAACCAAGGAATTCTGTCGTTTTAATTGTATTATGATCTGCTTCTAGCATAAACTATTTTATGGACACTTTTTAGGCTGCTCATTGGTTGTTTTATGCTGTTTTTATGTCCATGGCTGGTTTTTATTTTGATAATTTATGTTCTTTTTGATGGTGACTTTTTTATTTGTTAGCCAGCTTGTGTAGGTCTCTGGACCTACACAATAAATAATCAACTTTCTGCTCTAATTTTTCAGGATAGCCTTTACCATGGAGCCACTGGGATTTTTTATATGAGTGCGGCAGTCTTACAGGCTAATGCCACAATCCGTTCTGAGACAGAAGTGGAACCTGGATATACACCTCTCTACTATCAGCTGAATGCTGCTGCCACAGTAAGTGACCCACATAGGCGAGTGCTCCCAATGTTTCTATTAACGAAATCTTCCAGCTAGGCTTCCTCTTTGTGTGTGCATGTGTGTGAGGGTGTGTATTCCTGTTGTGTGAAAGGTGGCAGGCCTAGGCATCCCTTATAGTCTTAGATGAATGTTCACAATTAATTCATCCCTAGGCTTGCCAATCAGAGGTTGGCAACTGGTGAGCATTTGTGGGGGTGGGGACAAAGGGAGGTGCCATAAACCCATAGAAATTCTGACCATTCCTAGAGCAGTGTGAGATCATCTCTGGGTTTTCCCTGGAAGTGACGTAATGGTGTTGTCTGAGCCGGCCTTGCTGGGAAGGCAGGGTAAAAATCTAATTAAATAAATAAATAATAAATAAAATATTTTATTATTTTTTACCATCCTACTGGCTGCCTGAGTGCTAGTCGGCACTCTAGTTGGCACTGCCTGCGTGCTAGTTAGAGCTGAGGGTGGGAGGTATCCCACCCTAAGTGGGCAAACAGCAAGCCTTCCCATCCCCCACACAGTTGCCTGTGGGATTTTGTTCCTTTATGTTAAAGGAAAATAAACCTTCGGACACCCTGAGAGTAAACTGTTTAAACTGTTTGAGTAGTTATCCCTGTTAAATTCATGATAAGAAATGGTTCAAAGGACCGAAGCCACTGTTACCTTTGGCATGAGATATTTGTCTTTCTGTCAACCATAGTTGAGGTGAAGACCCACAGCTGCTGGCACACTGTCAGTTAAACTACCAGAAGTGTTTGCTTTTCACATCCAGATTGTCTGCAGTGAACATGTAATAAGGGCTTCCTATTAGGGTTACCAGGTCCCCCTGGCCACGGGTGGGGAACGGGGGGAAGAGTTGCCAGCTTTTAGTTGGGAAACTCCTAGAGATGGGGGGGGGGAGCCTGGGGAGGACAGAGACCTCAGTTGGGTACCATGGCATAGAGTCCACCCTCCAAAGCATCCATTTTCTCCATCGGAACTGATCCCTCTGGTCTGGAGATGAGCTGTAATTGTGGGGGATCCCCAGGCCCCACCTGGAGGCTGGCATCCCTACCAATTGCATACTATTGCATGGAAAGCAGCAGGAGGGCCATGAGTGGGGATACAGGGGTGGGTGGGGGCATGACACTAGGTGTGGCCGC